ACAGAGAAGGCCGAACGGGGGTGTAACGGCGTTAACTGGGCAGGAGTTATAGCTGGGCGGTAATGCCCCCTTAATATTCAACGCCGGCAGCGCGACAGATTTACGAGTGCTAATGAATTGGTAGCCCTGTGCCCCTCTGGCGTCTCTTTCATTCCGTCCGGTGGCTTTTCCACTGCGCGCTTTTTCCGCCATCTTGGATCCCGGCGCGTCTCCCTGTCAGTCGTTCGCCTGACGCGTGCAGAAGGACTCGTGGTTCCTCGTTTTTGGGCCTCTTCAAGGCCTCACCTGCCACCACAGGGCCCGGAAGTAGTTACGTCGCCTTCTAATTTCGAGTTCGGCCACCCCGGGGTCTTTCTACGAGCAGAGGTCGCCTCTGACCTCCTACCAGAGGACCTAACCTATAACTATTTTTCCATTTACTCCCCAACGCTCGACTCGAAATTTTTATCCTTAGAACCTCTAATCGTTTCAAGCTTGACAATGTGAATATAGAGGCTATAAGGAAGGTCCTGACACTCATGAAATTTCATTTTTTATATGAAATGTTGAAAATACCAATAAAGAAATTTTTAAAAAATTAAAATTTCATGGGTCTCAGGACCTTCCTTATAGCCTCTATATTCACATTGCCAAGTTTGAAACTATTTGGTAGTACTATTTAATTTCCATTAAGTAGGACAGAGCGAATTAGGAACAAATGAGGTTTTCTCGGTAGGGCTGAAATTTTAATTCCGGGTTAAGACGGTGATCAAAGATCAAAGTGTCCGCGAGTGGAGTTTGGAAGAGGGAAAATGGCGTCTTTGAGTCTTCTGGGAAGCGGAGCCTAGGACTGCTCGGTGCTGGTTTAAAGGCGGTTTCCTGCGTTTCTTTTCTACTTTTTCTGCTTTTTTCTTTCTTTTTTTTTTCTTCGAAAAGGAGAGAATAAATCTCGAAAGCTCCCTGTTGGCCGGAGGCCATCGGCAAGGAGCCGGCCCGGGTTTATGGGGTCCGACGTCGCAGAGGGCAGCACCGGCGGCGCCGGGACTGGAGATAGGTGGCGCGCTCTCACGGTGGACTTAATTAAAAAACATAATTTAGGGGAGGATAACAGGTAGCCGTGACTATAGCGGGAAACCGAGGGCACACGGGGGCCCGTCCGTGTGGTAGTTCGGCCTGGGGTCACTCATGAATAAGATTATTAATCCCGTCTACCGAAACTGAGGCCCCACGCGTTATGTACCTTTTCCAACCTGTGAATTTATGCTCCCCGAGTAAACACCGAGGCACGGTTTGGAAAATTTCTTTCCCCCCAAGACTTCGATTCCTCCACCTGTTCGCCTCTAGTCTCTCGGTTATTCCGCTACTTCAATTAATTACCAATTTCCACTAACTCCAGAATTTCTTTCTGTGCAATGTCGCGATTGGAAACGTCACTGTGACATTGTGCCGTCTTGGGAGATCCTTGAATCATGGGAATAATTACCGGGAAGTGGAAACGATTTTACCCCACTTTCCGTGCAGTGATACCTCGCTGTAACTGTCGTCATAATTCACGGACATCGCGGTAAGGACTTCGCGGCAGTGATTAATTACGGAATTACTTATCCGTCTCTGACCTGGAGGGGTCAGGAGGATCATTGGAGACGGTAAATTTCCCGGTATTCTTTTCGCCTTGCCAGGATATATGTATGAGGAAATAGAAACGTTACTTTTTTTTTTTCTTTTCTGTCGAGAGCTAATTTTAGAATGTCTCGAGGGAGTTTGGAAATTGGAGGGATCCGAGCCGTGCAGGTGAATCCAATCGAAAGCTCATCCCCGAACGGGGAGCAGGTGCTATTTCAGGGTCAACGACTCCCTTATGAAACGAGCGCCTTTACTCGGAAACCAGAAAACCGCCTTCGGTTTCTTTCTCCCCGAGAGGTACGACCATTGGCCCTTCTTTCTCTTCTTCTGTAGCAGTATTCCCGGCCATGTTGCCGACCCACTAATTTCCGCCAGGCCCGTCAGAGAAGATCGCCCTCGACCACCGTGGCTTCTTGCCCGCCCATTTTTAATTGCCTTACTCTCTTCCCACGTTTTGAAAAATTCATCCGCTCTTCCCATCCGTCGCGAAAAACCCCTTAAGAACGAACCTGGTCAGAATTCACGAGTTCCCGTAAATATCAAATTTCAGGGAAATGCTTCTCCTCAAAATGGAACTTCTCAAAATCCCACCCCCAACGCCCTGAAATTGAGGGTTGAGATTTTAACGTAATCCCAGGACCGTGATATTCGGTTATTGAGTTTTTCTCGCACCGGTAATTAAGTAGTACGTACATGATCGCGATATGGAAACTCTATCGAGCTCGTTTAGTCTCTATCCGCGAAGTTCAGTTTGGCCATCGTGCACGGTGGAGGCTTCGTGCCAGAAAAAGACATCAGCTGCGGTTAGGGGCACCCTCGAGAATCGGAACTCGGTTCACCACCTCCACCCTTTTTGACCACGGCCCGTCAGTCGGCTGTCAGCGATTCTTCCTGCCTGCTTAACCTGCTCCCCTGCGTGTAAAGGGGTTGGCGATGTCGATCGGTGCCACGTACCCGCCACCAGTTCCCGAAGGCCCCTACTCGGCGCACTTAGTTTTTACGCCGACCTTCCAGTTTTTTGGAGGAAGACGCGAAGGTCCCGTTCCTGGAAGGTGGGCGCTGAAAGAAAAGATACCGGGAGGGGTAGAGGTCCTGGTTTTAATTTATTCGCGGCATAACCCTCGGCATTATTAGTCCTAGCTCGGTCGGATGGGCGTGACGTCACGCGGCTAAAACAAAGGAACGAGCCCGCGCCCATCCCACCCCGGCTTCCCTTTTAACCGTGCCGACGACCCTGGAAAGGCGATGCCTCGGACCCATCGTCTCTTCATCGGCTCCTTAGGCACCGGGCTTTGAACGTAGGAAGAGCGATGAGACTAGAAATTTTAATTTTTTGACAGGGGAAAATCAGCCGAGGGGTTTTCAGGCTGTGCCTAATGGCGCGGCTCCTCGGGTTTGGGTGATAACGATGGAAAGGCGATGGTTTTTGAACCCATAGTCCATGGGGCTTCTTAGGCACTGAATTTCGAGCGAAGGAAGAGGGATGAAATTTTTCAAGATTTTCCTTTTTTCATAGGGAAAAGTCTGGCTGGGCATTTTAAATCGTACATAATTGCAAGGTACACCGCGTACCTCGAAGATCTCGACTGATCCTGGATTTTGCAGAAGGGGGGACGAGATTTCCAAAATTTCCCATTTTGAACGGCGCTGAATCGGGGTGGGCGGGGGTAGGTTGTACCTAATGGCGCGGTTCACCACGTTCCCGGGCAGGGTCCTAGGTAACACCTAATCGAGAGATGTCCTTGTCTCGGGAGGGCACGTCGTATTGTTCGAGCGGATCAATACCAACGCTACCTACAGTACCTACAACCTACACCTACGCCGAGCCCAAAGAGGGCGTGGCTCGTACACCGGGGGAGAAACGACTCCCTCTTTCGTTCCTCCTCGACCAACCCGGGGAGGAATTCCTCCATCTAGGGGAAAATTTCGCCTTCCTTCGGGGAAGAGGTCCGCTCTTCCGCGAGCGGTCCAGGACCCGCCACCACTCCGGAGGCTGCATCCTCCGGATCTTCCCACCCATTGGCCCGGAACCAGGAGTCCTCGGGCTGGGGAATCAATTCGGGAAGGGCTTGCACAATGTCCGCCGCTGATAACGTCCCCTGCCCGGAAATAGTTCGGTCCAGCCACACCCTGAGTCCTCGCCCCAGGGTTTCCACTAGAGAGCTGACCGGATCTCTCGGGTTCTCAAAATCTCAAAAAAGGCTCAGCCTAGAGAGATCATCTAACTCCCGTCTGTCATCCCTCGCCTACCCATTTTCATTTCATTTTCATCGTCGTTATTAATTAACATGACTCAATTACTTCTCTTGTCTCGCTCGGGTAGAGCCACGGTCTTGGGCTCGCCAATAATAAGTCTACGTGTACATCCACGTTTATCCATCGATCATCGGTCTGCAATGTTGGAAAAGATAGGTGTCCGTTAATAGGTATCAAAGGATAGGTATCCCTTCAATACGCAAAACGACAGATATCCTTAATATCGAAATTGATAGGTGTCCGCAATACGCAGAACAATACGTCCCCGCAGTGTCTGAAACTCCGAGCGACCTAGGGTCGTCCCAACAGAGTCCACCAATCCCGGTACCATTTCGAATCGTGCAGTCCCAAGTATAGCGAAGTGCGCTAGACCAGACGGTACTATAGCACCTGGTGCGGCGCCCTTTGGTGCCGTCCCTCCCCTCCGTCTCCGATGTCCACACGATTCCGTCCTGACCGGGGCGTGTGTCGGTGTAGCGTCGCGGCCTCGGCTTTGGGCGTGTCGCCTCGATGGCGCCGGCTGCTAATGGCCACGGGGCCGCCAGACTTTAATTTCCTGCTGCTTCCGCGGACCCTTTGCCGAAGCCTTTACCTTCCCGTCCGAATCCCACGCGGCTATCTCGGGTCGGTCCCTCCACCCTAGGGCAGGAGAGCCCATTCGGGATACCGGTAGCCGGCCGGGATACCCTGCAGGGTCTCGCCATGATTTGCATGAAACTGCCCCTGATGAGCTTGCTCGACTTGCCCTGGGCCTCATTACCGAGGCGAGGCTCTCCTCGGAAATCAGGCCGGGCCCGATATCTAATTTCGGTTAGATCCGCCAAAGAGACCGAAACCGTCGAGTGGAGGGTTCCTCGGTCGCCAGGTTGGATAAGTTTCAAATCGAGTCTGCTTGAAGCTTCGGGATGCCTGATCCAAGGCGTTCGGATCCGACATAACCTCCAAATGCATGGGCGGTTTCTTGGACCCGGGTCAGTCGTTACATCGGGTAAGGGCGGGTATTTTCGGGAGGACGTGGGGCTCGTTCCTTCCCGGCGATCAGCGGCCGAGTCGCGTCGGAAGTCGAGATCGCGACCCGGGCCGATTCTCCCGTCCCGCCGCAGGTCTCGCCCCCCACTGAGAGAGCCCTCTTTTGGTTGCAGGACCACCCTGGGCTGCGAGGAACGCCTCTGGCGATGCTGGCGGCGCAGTGCAACAAGCTGAGCAGCAAGAGCCCGCCGCCCCTGGCGGACGCGGCGGTCGGCAAGGGGTTCCACCCGTGGAAGAAGAGCCCGCAGAGCAGCGGCGGGTCGCCGCAGCACGGCGGAGGGTGCACGACGACGGGGGTGACGCAGCGACCGGCGGCCAGCAGCAGCGCGGGGAGCACGGGGGGCGCGTACGCGCGCGCCCCGGTGACGTCGTGCGCGTCGACGGCGCCGCAGTACGGGAGCGACCTGTACTTCCCGGGGACGGCGTCGGCGCAGCCGGCGTCGGGGGAGGCGCACCACCACCAGAGCGCGCTGCTGGGGAAGGTGGAGGGCGCGACGCTGGGCTCGGTGTACGGCCGGCACCCCTACGAGTCGTGGCCGTTCAACGCGATGCCGGGGGCCGGCCACGGGGGCATCAAGGCGGGCGAGGGCTGGTGGGACGTGCACGGCGCGGCGGCGGCGGCCTCGGGGGGCTGGCTGGACGTCGGGGGCACGGTCGGCGTGGGGGTGCAGATGGCGAACTACTCGGCGGACTACTCGACGAGCCTGGCGCTGGCAGGGAACCACTTGCTGGGTTCGACGACGGCGGGACACAACCTGCTGCAGGACACGTACAAGTCGATGCTGCCCGGGGGCCCGCCCGGGTTCGGGCTGCACCACCACGGTAGTCCGGCCGGGGGGGCGGGCAGCCCGCAGGGGTCGGGGGCAGGGGGGGTCGGCCAGGCGGCGTCGCCGCGGTCGCAGCGGCGTTACACGGGCCGGGCGACGTGCGACTGCCCGAACTGCCAAGAGGCCGAGAGGCTGGGCCCGGCCGGGGTCCACCTAAGGAAGAAGAACATCCACAGCTGCCACATCCCCGGCTGCGGCAAGGTGTACGGGAAGACGTCTCATCTGAAGGCCCACCTAAGGTGGCACACGGGTGAGCGACCGTTTGTTTGCAACTGGCTTTTCTGTGGCAAGCGGTTCACACGTTCGGATGAGTTGCAGCGGCACCTTCGAACCCACACCGGCGAAAAGAGATTCGCCTGCCCGGTCTGCAACAAGCGGTTCATGCGCAGCGACCACCTCGCGAAGCACGTCAAGACCCACAGCAGCACCACCACCACCAGCGGCAGCAAAGGCAAGGGGGGAGCGGGGAGCTCCTCGGCCGAGTCTTGCTCAGACAGCGAGGACAACGCGAGTCGGCAGAGTCCCACTTCCAGCTCGGGCCTGGGGCCGGGCCCGGGCCCGGCGGCCCCGGGGGCACCCCACCAGGCTCTGCCTCCGGGGCCTCCGGGGCCTCCGGGGCCCCCGGGACCCCCGGGACCCCCGGGACCCCCGGCCTCGCTCCAGGACCGCACCGCCAACTCCGCCAACTCCCAGCCCCCGGCGACCCCCATGACCCCGATGCAGATGACCCCGCCGCCTCTGACCCCACACCATCCCCACCACCCGCATCTCCCGCCGCTAATGCACCCCCACCACCATCACGCAACGTCCGTCCCGGCGGCGGCGGCGGCGGCGGCGGCGCATCATCCGCACGCGGGGATGAGCATGCACTGAGCCCGGTGGGGCCCGGAGCCGCCGCGTGCAACAACGGCGCCCCCGCGGCCCTGGGCTCACCGTCCCTATCCTACCCCCTCAACCTGAACCTCATGCAGCACCACCAGCGACTCCAGTCCCCGCACCAGTCCCCCCACCAGAACATGGCCCATCAGGCCCACCGCCACCACCCCCAGCAGCAGACTCTCGCCCACCACCATCACCACCACCACCAGAACTCCTACTCCTCCGGGCCCCAGAACCCTCCCACGCCCGGCAACGCGCAGAGCCCCTCGCCCTCCTCCCCCGCGCCTGTACATAGCCTCTAGGCGGACTCCTTCACCCTGGACCCCGGAAATCAGCCCTTCCCCTGGTCGCCGGAAGTCTCGAGTCCGTCGCTTTTCTCCGACGACGACCCTTCAACTCCCGGGGACCGTCCACCCCTTTTCCCGTAATCGTCCCTCGGCCGACGTTCGCCCTCGGATTGGACACTTTGCTCGGTGGTTCGGGAACACGTTGACGGTGCGCAACGATGGAACGGTCTTCTGAATGACCTTATCCGAGGATGGGTGCACGTTGCATTCCCGCTGTCCCCGCAAGGGATGCTCCACTGCGACGTCCTTTGCGGGGGATGAGTGACCAGCCCGAGTCTTGTCATCCCTGATTCGGGGGCCGATTTCTGGCAGCGATCCGTCGGTTAGCGATGCCCCTCGTTCCCGGATTTCCTGGACCAGGGTCCGCGCAAACTCCTCCCCCTCGTCGCCGCGCCTGTATATAGTCTAGGCTGAGGACTCCTCGTCGACCCCCGGATGCACCCCCCGAATATGCACCTTGTAAATAATATAAATAGCGACCCTTCTTTTAATTGCGCTGGGAGAGATAGAGAGGGAGAGAAAGCGAGCGTATGCGAGAGAGATAAGAAATTATAATTATATTATATTGATGCGATATATGATATTGTGTAAAATACACCCTACAGCGGCTGTACCTTACACGCGTTGCCGGGACCGACGGCGTCCCGACGCTCGTCGGTTCCGACGATCTGGTGGATCCTGGAACGAGTTCCAAACGTCACCCCGTTGGTTTACGGACGGGTCCGAAATGGTTATTAATTACGTATATTACACCTGTAGGCGGCGACACGTTTGGAATTTGGCTAGTCGCGAGGAATTCGCGACCCCGACCGCCACCCACCCCCCATATCACGTCCACCCTTCTCGAGCTAGTATCTTATACTATTAATTATTAATTAATTATTATTAAAGTATTATTATAAATATTATGAATTCATTTTAAAGAGACACACCCTACAAAAAAAGGAAATAAACGATGCTTTTGTGAATAAGAGAGAGTTCTTCCCTCAGGGACTGGGTCATCCACGAGATTCGGGGACATTGTACGGAATTTGTTCGCTCACTGCATCCGGAATTTTTTTACGCCTTCTTTTCGAAAATTTCTGCCGATTGCCGTACAGTTTTTCCCGGCTACGGTTTCATACACCCGGGGAGATTTATTCTTGGCAATTTTTCTATTCTTCGCTTCCGTGGTATTCTTGGCTCGTCTTTGCCGTTGCCGACCTCCGTGACGTATGTCCACGTCAGTATGTTCTGTTCCCTGACATCGGAAATTCATTTATCGGCTCGATGCAAATATCAATCACGGATTCTGGGAAATCGTGGACTGAGCTTCCGGGCCGCCGGAAATCTATCGAAATGGATGGGCAAAAAATGACTCCGACTCTTTTAGCCGGGTCTATTCTACCAAGGGGGTGACTCCGAATTTCGGGGACATTAATCACGAGGCTTCGGGAAATCTCGTGTCTGCCTAACAAATTCGCGGAGCGATAAAACCCACGGCGGGACGAGGGACGAGGAGAGTGCTTCTGCGGCTGTAATATAGCACGGGCCGTTAGTTCCCGGATCCTTCCAGCCATGAAATGTCCCGTCATAACATCAGTTCCCCTGCCCCTTTCATGGTGTCTCTCAGCCCTCCCTTCGCCGATGATGTCTATGGGATAATATGCCCGAGAGGTCGCTGCCGAAAAGAACTTTCCCAGGGCTGCAGGAAGTGCTGATGGCTGTCAATCCACCAGCGGAAATGGTAAACGCGATTCTTCGACCCTCCGGATGGAAATCATGGTAAACCGTTGACATCTTACTATAAATACGCTATTATCAATAATAAAAAAAAATAGAAACTCCGAAAACCGGCGCTGAATTTATTGTTCGTTTAATTTAGCCGCAGCGAACCGACTTCCGTTCATGTCTTTCAGGGTCCAGATCAGCAGCATCCTAGATAGACATAGTGATGCGCAATTAGCATCAAATTTGCCTCATGAAAGATCATGAGTCATGAGCCTCTCGCGTATGGTCCTCATTTGGAACTCATATTTGCAGCACACAATGATTAAAGAAAAATACTTAAATATTAAACAATGTTAAGTACGTGCAATGTCCCAACGTTTGTACGCGTATGTAAAGCTATATTAATCTCACGCATTGCTGATATAATCAAGTTAAGCGTGTATAGTTCATATTTGAGTCATGATAGAAACGATAGAAATGGAGCAATGTCATATTTAGCCCACATTTCTGGCATTAACTAACTTTTGGAGAGCTGACTTGGTCAGTTTGTTGTGATTACCTAAAAAAAGTGAATAACTTCTGTTATGCATTGTTAAAACCAATTTAGTTGCTAAAAATGTCTCGGTGTCAACGCGCGAGGATTTAGAACCGAAGGAAGGAAGAAGTCAGAGGTTATAAATCCGCTCATCAAGATTGATGACCACTGCCTCTTCCGTCAGATCAAGGCGGAATCGTTTCAATTAAGGAATTCAATTAACAAGCTCGGAAGGCCGAGATGCGACCCCATTAGCCGGTCTTACAGAGTCCCTAAATGAAGTGGAGGTGGAGTGGCTCCACTTGATTGTTTACATTTCCACCGTCGAACAAACTGATTGCTTCGATTCGCCCTACCGACCCGGGTGGACAAATGCGATTTCCATGGCGAAATCGAAGAGTCATCGTGGATCCCTTTGAGCGATCCATGGCTGGGCGTGTAATCAAGCGGTTCGCATTATTAGCGCGAGTGACTCGACTCTTCCCAAAGAGCCGACCCTAAAGTTTGCCTCTCCGTTCGAGTCGCTCCAAAGTGCAATCTCGAAGTATTTTAGAAACGGTCAATTCGAGCCGAGAAGAAACCGATATAAATCCGGGCGAGACATCCGCGAGCATCCTTGACCCGGATTAAAGGTCCAATTTTCGTGATTACCGGATGGAGCCATCCGGAAGGACTTTACGATACCAGGAGAAAAAAGGGAGACCCGCGTCCCATTTTGCAAAGATGACGACCCGGCTCGTGTAGAGGGCCGATGGCGCCGTCGCGGCGCTCATCACAATAAACAATTTCCGAGCCCCGGCGAGGCCACCACCATAAACCGGATCAATATGCCAGAGATTACGAAATAAGATCGTTATGCAAATCAGGCTGCGCGGTTTCGGTCTCCTCGCTCGGGGCCGACGCGTTGGGCTCGCGGGGGGTCGAATTGCCACGGCAATTCGCGGGGGGTGCGGTTAATGTCGAGCTAGCGATGCCGAAGGGAGGCTTTTCGGTGATTTAACCCCGAGGAGGGTGAACGTTTGTTATTCAATTTGCAACCCCACGCGCCATCGTACCAGCCACTGTTCGCCTTCGCGCATATATCACCCCGACCCCCCGCGAATCCCGGCGTTCTGGCCACTCTAAAGTGCACTCCCGAGGTGCATCTTCCCCGAAGTACCGAACCCCGTCGGCGCGGCTTGACGGGTCGCTTCCGTGGATTTGGAAAGAATTTTTCGGGAATTTTCCCGGGTACTTATCGACCGCCCACGCCCAGAGAGATATCCCAGACTGGACCACGCGAGGTCCTGGAAACAGTGCGGAAACGTCCTGCGGTCGGATTGATCTCTCTTGGGAAATGCCCGAGTACTCGTGTCGGCGAGGATGTTACGCCGGGTTGCAACAAAGAGGACTAACAAGGTGGCGGGCATATGGTTAACGTTGCTGCGCCGCTCGAGCTCCATGGGGCACCGTGTGAACACGCACACCCATGTAGGGCCACACAAGATGAACACGGCTCTCAAAGTGGATTCGCGCGATGCAAGCTAAGGAGAGTCTTGTTACAAAGGAGGGCCGACTTCTCGAAAAGGACCTCGTGAAGAAGCGGCGCCTCAGGAGCCTGCCTCTCGTCCTGCAGGGTCTAGGACTAGCTGCTCCGTTTTCTGGCGCTGGGCTTTCTCGAGTGGCCCAACTTACGGGCCAATTTTGACTGCCACTTGTGTAAATCATCGGTCAATTAGACACGCGGGGGTATCTTTGGATATTCCGAGTGTCTAGGGTATTTTCGGGTGGCCAGAACTTTGATACCCTGGCCAGAGCTCTGCGTCTTCTCCGTCGCAATTCCCATTCGATTACGCGCATGTCTTTCTTTTCGAATTTCATGCGCAACTTCGCGTTGGCATTTTTTCTCCTTGTTTATAGAGGCTTGATCCTTGAACTCGACGATGCTGATGTATAATTTTGGACAGCATTGTTATGCATACTGTGAAAACGGTCGATCTTCTGGTGAACCAACATCATTCTTATGTCGTTATGGCTTTTGAGACGACATTCGCGCAGATTCGATTTCTTATACCCTATAGAGTCTAATGTATAATTTTGTACTCGATGTTTCTCCGCTTATCATCCGCTGGGGTGAATTTTTAGAACCCCAAGGGTTGGCCAGTGGTCATCCATTTTCAGAAACGCTCGACCTAATGGTCAACCAACACCATTCTCATTTCACCATGCCGAATACGCAAGACCGTGTAACGCGACGCCGTTGGGTCCGAATCGAGTTAATTGCTCGCCATTAAAGCTCATCAAAGTATCTGGTTAGCGTACGCGACACTAGGGGAAATCGCAATCCCCCATGGCGTCCTGGCGTCATCCCCAGCCGTGAATCAAGCGCGCCATAACCTCGTTACGAAAGCCTACACTTAATTTCCCGAATCGACGTGAATCATCGAGCTGATCATCATCTGAGATTGTCCCCTGGAAATCGCATATAAAAATCGTAAAGAGTCTTAAACGGCAAATTAAGGTCCCTAGCTGATAATGCGCCTCCTAGGTCTAGGTTGAGGTTAGGTCTCGTCTTCGATCCTGCAATCGATGATCGTAGAAAATCGAACCAAAGGGTATTTCGCTTCCCCGAAAACCCCTCTATCTTTAGATCACTTTTCGACACATCGGTCCACGTTTTACGGTTTACGACGTGTTAACGTCGACGCGTCATATTTCCGTAACTCCGGCTGTCGTCCTGAGCGACATCGATTTATCGTCGGCCTGCCAACCGGTGGAGGGTAACATCAAACGTAGCATATGTACTCGGTATTTTCGTGCATCCTCTTCATTTTTCCCTCCGTTCTCATGCGACAGGGAAAGCCTGTAAGGCCGGCTATATTCTCGGAAGGAATTAAAAAACATATCCCATGCGACGCCCCCCAAGGACCGCTCTCGAATTGATTCGGGAAAATTAAATCGGGGACCTCGGATGTGATAAACGACCCGGGAGAGAAAAACAAGAGGCAGCACGCGACTTCCGGTGGCGACAAAGACATCCTCCGTGACTTGCTTCTCCCTCGGTTATTAATTGTCTTACGAAACGAAGTCACGTAACTCCTTGGCGGCCATTTTGGGGGGTCCTCGCTCGCTCTTTTGTTCGCCACCCCGCGCTAATCTAGGGGAATTTCGCTTGAAAAAAATAAAAACAATTAAAAATTCTCCCCAGCGGTGGGAAAGTATTTTTTATTTTATTTATACCAATGGATATTCTAAAGTAAACGTTTTGCGAGTATTGAAAATGTCTGCTGAATATCTACAAGACGTACGATATTCGTTAAATATATGGAAAATATGGGACAGATATTTTGTGCTTCTGGGGTTATTTCAGCACGCGGAGTTTGTCGGGATATACTAATATATATATATATATATAGAAAATATAAGACAGATATTTTGTACCGCTGGGCTTATTTCACGGGACGTTGCTCGAGCACGTGGGGAGAACGGCGGGGAATTTGTCGAGATATACTTTCGGCGGAGTTAATTGATACATCCCCGGGTGTTCTGGAATGCAATTCGGATGTGCACCGGAGATCATGTGCCGACACCTCTTTCGCTCGGGACGGCTCGTTTGATTTAGCGGCCGAGCTTCCTGGCGATCTAGTTAACACGCTTCCTCCTTTTCCGCCTTTTTTTTCCCGAGCCCACGAGCCATCCGACGTGACTAATACCCTTTCGGCAGTATTTTTATCCGGCGAAGTG